TAAGGAAATGAATTCACCGTCTCCGAAAAGAGACTCCTCCTCTTTGTTGAACTACTACTGGTCTTCTCTCAATTTTTGTCTGTTTATTTGCTTGTCTAACTTCTTGTATTTTTTTACATAATTCCATATTTTTCTTCATTTCTATGTTCCGCCCCGATTACAACTCAAACTCATCAAAATAACTCATCTTATTACGTAACTGTGAAATAATAATAATAATTTACTGTATTCCAAAACAGTACTTGTGATACAGAATGGAATTGTCAGCATTGTACTACATACAGTATTGCATCCAGTTAGTACATTCAGCCTCCAAAGCCTCAGGATGGTCGGGGGTGGGTGCCTTGCGCTACGGGTTGGCCACCCCTCCGCACACCTCTTGAAATGCTCCCATATGACCGGGCGTCTTACATAGCCTCTCCTGAGGAAGTCCTACTCACTGCCTTTACGTGGCGGAGGTGTTTCTCACCAAAGTGAGAGGGCGAATGCGGATGCCCGGCGCTCTCCACCGGGTTGACTTTCCATTGGATGACGGTCTAGGGGAGATGGCTAAACCCTGATTCCAAACCTCCAACGACTGGCGTATGAAGCTCACTGGAGTTCACCGGCAGACGTATGGACAAAGGGCTTGTTGGATGTCAAAAAAAAATGGCCCCATTCAAAAAGGCGTATGAACCGAACTCCGGTCACCGGCTGCCAATGGATAGTGGACTCCATACTCCACTCCTACTGCCTTGTAGGTCACACTTGGCTGTGTAAAGGCTAGAGCTGCACTCTCAAACAAAAGGCCGAGCGATTCTGGGGACATCACTCGTACCAAATTCCCATGAAACTTCATGAACTCTCTTACAAATTGCCGCGCCTGAGCAGCAATGATTCGAGACGTTCATGAAGCCGGCTGATCCTCCCGTAGGAGATAGCCGAAGTAAAGTAAGTAAGTAAGTACATTCACAATAAATAAAATTCTACATAGATTAAGGGTAATCTCAGTTCGTTTTGTCAACAACATATTGGCATGTCGGTAGCAAGCCAAAATTGAACAGAGTGTTTGAAGGTGTTAGACAAGTAGGTTCTAGCATATTTACTGGCGTAAACAGAAGAAAGAAACAAAGCTGCACATAACAGAAAAAAAGTGGGAGAGTAAGGGAAAAGGAAGAAAGGAAACGTTGTACCTATAAATGATATGAGTTGAAAAGACGAAATCCAGTTGTTCTACGGACTATTTAATAAGTCATAAGTTTCACGCCTAATGCTTTCTTTATCGCCCAGAACACGAGCTAAGTAGGGGTATGGTTGAGTTTTTGTACTGGCTAGTGTGAGTATGTAGTTTTCTATATAGGCTTCTGATTCTGTCTGTTGAGGTAGAAGGGGAGAGTTGTAAATGAAGAGGGTGCTGGTGTGAGTTAGATAAAATGGATTTACTCCATTTTTTTCACATGAGGAGTCCAAGTGCCTGTCGACCAGAATATTAACAAGCTGGTTAGGTGGCACGTTGCTCACACTCATTCAACTGCTCTCATGCACACTGACTAATATTTGTGATTACTGCTCATTACTTTCATTACTACTCTCTTTCATGAAAAGCAGACTGTATATGTATAAATGCGATTGTAGAGGTAAAGGGGAAAGTGAATTTGCCGAAAAAAGAGCCACTCTCCGCCTCTTCGTTGGACTACTTGTCTTGTTTTTCATTAATGTTTGTAATAAGATAAGCCAATCTAGACAAAAAATAAAACAGCTCAGTGATGGCACTACATTGAGTTACATACAGTCATACAATAGAATGTGCATCGATGGCACAGCAGTTACGAAGCTCGCCGACCATGCACATGATCTGGGGTTCGATTCCTGGCCACAAACGCACTCCTTGACCTCGCTAAGCCAGGAGTAAGAGTGGCAAAGCGAGGAAGGTTGGGCGTGAGGCTAGCAATCCCATCCTTTAAAAATAATGACCACTGCTACAGAAACTTCAAGCCTCTAGCTTGTTCCTTATTCATCGAGTCTACACCCAACACATGCAACAGAAATGACTCAATGCAAATATCAGAGATATGCATGGAAGATATTATTACCTCAAGTCAGTCAGTCAGTCAAATCAGTGGAGGATAATAAATAATCTTAAAATTCTATTTCAATTCAAACACATCACAACATTCTAACAAGTAACTGATTATGACTATAAAAAAACACACTCGTATTTCCCATATAATTGTAATGGGTCAATAACACTCGTACTACTATTATTATTTCTGAATGGAAATTATCTCACATTGATTTTTAATCCGATATCTAATCGATTCCACACATGTGTATAAATGAAAGAAAAAAGTTGCTTGAGTAGTGCCTTGACATGATTATGACCAGCAATAGTTTGTGCTCGAAACGTCATCAGTTAATATAACTGTACCACAAACACTGTGTGATTTATCAAAATAAAATCTTATCCATAATGGACTGTAACTTGTTCCACTGGGAACCTGAAAGGAATAAAAAAAACTACAACAGAATGAGACAAATTGACACTTATAATATCTAATGTAATCAACAGGGAATTGTGTCTGAAACATCACCCAGTAAATAAAAGTGTTTTACCCTCGGTGATATATCCATTCTCTTGGAAAATCTCCATCAGGACATTAGAGGCGAAAGAATAAAAAACTTAACTCCGGTTGAGCTAGGTAGATAATTCATTCTATGCGCGTCCTTTCAAAACGTGTTACAGAAGACTATTCAGCATGGCTGCAATGAGGTGGAGTCTTGGTTTATCAGTCAAAACCTCTATAATTGAACACCTCGTTGTCAACACCTGTTAAAGCATTTCAATCAACTCATCGTTTGGCATCATTTCCAAAGTGAATGAAAGATCCACTAAAGGTTGGTGTATTTCCAACTTCTTCGTACTTCAGAATTCCTTGTCATGTGCACTGAGAAACCGGAGCTACGTGTTTAAAAGAAACTAGTCTAACGTCAATAACATTTAACATCAATCTGGTTCGGTTCGACTCCTCAGTTTTCGTTTGTTTGTTTTGTTCATTTTCAGTCTATGGAGGTTAACACTGCACAACTGTGAAGTGAAGTTACGAATATAGATCTCTTTATTGGCCCTGTGTGTTCTTTTAATTACTATGGTGACGTAAATCGATAATTTTAACTATTTCCAGTTTGATCACGGATTGGTATCAGTTAGAGAATTATTGAAAAACCACCAGGGAGTACTGGACAGCTATTTCGTACTGTTCCTACTTTAGGACACCCACTGAACTGCCAGCATTCGAGCCCAGAACCTTTCGGTTACAAGGCCAGCTAGCTCGTATATCATTGAACCACTGGGACCTGACTCATTGACCAACGCCTAAATTTTAACATTCTACCAATTCATGATTTCTGTGCAACTAGCACCAACCAAATGTGATATGTGGCGGTTATTTGTCCTCACTCTGGCCCTATTGAATAGATCCCACTGGCCAAGACTTCTCACTAGGAGAGGACTCCAGTCAACTTCGTTCTGTAGCCAATCAGTCACTAGTGTTAGCATCCGATTGATTTTCAAGAGGTTGTTTCTAGATATTGGATTTGTTTCGAGTTTTGATCACACAGATTGATGTCAGTTGAAGAACCATTGGAAAAGAAAACTGGGATTACCGCTAGGCAGCTGTTTCGTTCTCCTAGTTCGGGACTCATCATCATTACATCGGTAACACACGCCCCCCCCACCGCCACCAACACCACCAGGGTTCGAAATCAAGACACCTTCCAGTCTTCTAGGCAATAATTCGTGTGATCAAAAGTTAAACAAATCAAATTGCTACAAGCAAACTCTGTTATATTAATTTCCTTGAAGAAGTTCGGACCAGATTGACGAACGAAACGTTGGAATTAATCATTTCAGTTTCGCTGGGATTTTAAAAATATAATTTTTAAAAAACTTTTGTAATTTTGTAAATTTGTGCATGTATGTATAGAAATGCTTCTGTACGGATCAGAAACTTGGAGGGCGGATCACAAAGAATATTTCCAACAGTCTGTTGCAGACCTTTATCAACCAACAACTGTCTTCGCTGGCTCTATAGTGAAGATCAGATGGCCGGGCCGGAAAGAATCACCAAAAAGCAATTATGGGAACAAACGAAACAAGAACCAATCGCCGCCCATAAAATATGCAGGAGAAAGTGGAGATGGATTGAGCACTGGCTCGCTGAGGAGGCATCGCGCGCGCGTCAGGCCATTGCTCGAGTGGAACCAGGCCGAAAGGGAAGCACGCGGCGAGTGGGACGTCAGTTCAAGGGTGACATGGAGGAGATGATGTGAAGAGGAGTTGAAACAGTTACTATGGACTAACATGGATGGAGGTGAAAAGTACAGCAGAAGGAAGACAGAAGCAAGTGGAGACGTTCAGTTGAAGCCCTATGTTCCACTAGGAACCCAAGGGAACAATAACCAGTAGGGTGCAGCAGGTCGGGTGTGAGAACAAATACTCGCCACCGATGACATTGTCTAGCGGTTTCGCTATATCGTGAATTGGCAGAGGTTAGAATCCATGGGCCATTGGATAGGGTCCTAGTGGCTCAATGGTCTACGAGCTATCTCGCTAGTCTTGTAACCAGATGGTCCTGGGTTCGAACCCCTGTGGTGGTGAGTGCGTGCTGCTGAAGAGTCCCAAACTAGGCTGACGAAATAGCTGTCTGTCAGTACTCCCTGGGTGGTTTTTCAATGGTTCTCTAACTAATGTCGGCCCATGGTGAAAATCCTGTAACCAATCAACCAAATCCCTACAAACCAACACTTGAAACTCCTGATAGTTTTGTAATTTTGTAAATTTGCGCATGTATGAAAATGCTTATCGAACAGCTGCTTATTTTTTGGCGGGAAGGGGAGGCGTTGAAGTCATCCGTAAACATGTATCCAATAAGCAGATTCATCTGAAACTACTTGATGTCATGTTTTCTCTCATTTAATCAATGTCTTCTTTGTTCTTTCCTGTTCTTGCTCTTCTTCTTCAGAAATACGACTTCGAATTCGATATGAACGATCCATTAGAGGTTGAAGTCAAACGATATCTTGATATGATGCATGGAATAGTTCCAGAATCAGCCGAAGAATCCATTGTTAGTACAGAACAAGGCACTAGTCTAAGTGGTACTCAGTCAGAGTGTGAAACAGAAACACATACATCATATTCATCATTATCAATAGGTTGTGGTGACGGCGGTGGTGGGGTTGATGGTGTAAACATTGAAACTGTTGAGCAACACAGTGATCAACAAAGTCGATCAAGTCTAGGTTCTGTAACACATAGTCTTGGACATTGTAGCCGACAACGAGGACAACGTCGACGACGATATTGTCGTAAAGCAGTTGGAAGTAAAACAACGCGTAGTGCTGCTGCCACCGCTAGCGCTGCCGGTGTCTCTTCCTCTTTTGACCTCTTCTCCAGTGATATTGTTTCAGTGAATCGTTTATCTGCACGTAAATTTGCTCAACTTGAAAAAGAGATTTCAGCGGCAATAGCTTCTTTTAATAATAATACTAACAATAATAATAATAATAACAATGGTCAATCGTCGCTACATGGAGTTAAATCTAATGAAGGCAATACTTGTGTAAATTCTAGTTCACGTAGTTCACGCAGAGGAATTCTATGCAACACAAAGTCAAGGTATTCTAATTGATGTGTTGTGTGTGTGTGTGTGTAATAATGTGGGCATTTTTGTTTGTTTTTTTGACTTTCCGGTACACTAACACTATTCAAGCCTTGAAGTTTCTGTGGCAGGATATGGTTACTAGCCAGCCTCATGCCCAATCTTCCCTCTTTGCCAGTTCTATTGCTGGCTTAGCAAGGCAAAGGAGGGTGTCTGTGGCCGGGGATCGAACCCCGGACCACATGAGGTGTAGTCGGTGAGCGTCCTAACCACTGTGCCATCGATGCACATTCTATTGTATGACTGTATGTGGTGCCATCACTGAGGTGTTTTATTTTTTGTCTAGATTGGCTTATCTTATTAGGAACATTAATAAAAAACAAGACAAGTAGTCCAACGAAGAGGAGGAGGTGGCTCTTTTTTCGGCAAATTCACTTTCCCCTTTACCCCTACTATCGCATTTATATTTACAATTTCCTTTTCATTAAGCAGAATAGTAATGAAAGTAATGAGCAGTAATCACAAATATAGTTGTTAATATTAGTCAGTGAATGTGATGAGTGCAGTTGGATAAGTGTATTTCAAAGTTACGTAATAAGATGAGTAATTTTTAATGAATGGGTTGTTGTAATGATGGTAATTGGTGCTGGTTGGTATTACTGTTGGTCGGTGAGGTATCTTCATCACCTCCATCTTCTCTATGTTCACCTGAAGTCCTGTCTTTGCTGCCTGCCAGCCTCTTCAACCAGTTTGTTGATTTTTGCTTGCAAGTCTTTCAGTCTGTGTGATATTAGACATAAATCATTTGCGAAATTCAGATCTTCTATACTTCTCTTATCGGTGGGCCAGCGTATTTCTGCCTCGTCGCTCCCTGTGTACAATCTGACGCATAATTCAGTCTACTACTACTAAGAATATCATCAGTAATAATAGGCAGGCAGCCAGCTTGTTTTACTCCTGTGTCTCCTTCGAACTCCTCGCTCAGTTTTCCATCGTAGATTACCTGACACGTGACACTGTCATATAGCCAGCTGCGACTGAATGAGGTTGGGAAAGATTTGGGCACTGCACTTCATAGTGTTGAAATAGTTTCCAAATGACTTCCTGGTCGACGCTGTTGAAGACCTTCTTATAGTCGATGAAATTGAGACAGAGATTTGATTTCTATTCTACTCTTTGCTCGATGATGATGCGTAGAGTCGCAATTTGATCATTACGTGATTTGCCTTTCCTGAATCCACTTTGTTCCCGTGGGGCTGACGGAGTTTTACGCCCAGCTCATCTTTTATTATTTATAGGATGACTCGACTTCGTATTTTGTTTGGTGTGGACAAGAGCATTATTCCACGCCAGTTCTTGTTTGAACAAAACGAAAAATAAATAAATGTTTACCCTTTTATAGCTAAGGCAGAAATATGGTACTGTACATACTTCTTTTGGCTTAAGTGACTACGGCGTCCGCCATCGTTAGTTCTGACTACGTTGACACGGAACTTCCTAAAATCAACGTTCACTGAAAATAATTACCTAAACCGATTTATTGATAGAAATGTGAAGCATAACTAGTCTAGACTGCTGACTAACATAGTTCCAAAGAAAACCATCTTCGTAAATCTTGAATTCGTAGGTTATCACACGCTACAGTTAAGCTGAAAAATTACCTTCCTAAATGAATAAGTAAGACATTCTTTGCAGTTAAACTCCAATTGTCTTCCACCATCTGTGTAAAAGGTAATCTCTTCGTCATCTGGCCGCCTGCATATGCATCTGTCAGTTCACCTGCTCTTGTAGAACAAACTACATTGGCTGTAGCCAGAGAAAGCTTTCCACATGGTAACATGAGCACGTTCCAGAATGATTATACAAGCGAGAAAGGAAGGGTGGTGGGTGAAGCTCTGTTCTAGAGCACTTGACCGATCTCTTTCACCCTACCAAAATCGACTTTGCTTTTCAGATCATCTATCTAATTCATTCCAGCCTGCCTCTCTTCCATCGCCCCAAATTTTCAAAAACAGCGAAGGCCTCAGACATTTATGAATTCAAGTCATACCTTTGCCTACACAAAAAAGATATATACAGTGTCCATTTCTACCTTGCTTGCCAACTTCTTTGTCACCGCGAGCAGATTTATCATATACACATGTCTTTAAAAGCCCTACATTATGGCGGTGACGGGATGGTTGAAGATACTACCCAGGTGGATTAGGACTTGAACCTAAGACCCAGTGATTATTGAAAGTCAAGCCACATAAATATGCTCTACTTTTCAGACAACCGTAAATAATTTTTTTGATGTGTAAACAACTGACTACTTATTTCCAATAAAGTAGCTAATTGTTGTTTCTCTTCAAAAATATGCCTATTTTTCAGAGCTACATTACCCTCTGGAATTTATTATTCACATAGAGAATTTCTGCGTTTCTGTGATTCTACGCCAGCTGAACGTGAACAAGAAATGGATGAATTAAATACTACAATACAAACTTTATCTGAACAAATAGAAAAGGAAAAGAAAGTGAGTGAAGTGATGAGAATCATTCAGTGATATTATTATTATTATTAATTTATGTTGGTTGCTTTACCTCAGATATTTTTATGAGATATTGACATTTTGACCTTCAGTGGATTATTGATTTTCTGTAACTAAACCACATACGTGATTGGAATCGTATTCTAGGCGTCAGTCATCTTTTTCTTTAAGCAAGGTAGTTGTTTTCATCAGAGATGCCCACTGTCCCCACTTCTGTTTGATTTTATCTTAGATATCGTAATAATGGACTTAACCCTAACTGCTGACTTCAGTGACTCAGTGATTGACTTGTTACAGCCAGGGAATAATCTCGTTGATTTAGAATATGCAGAGGATATCATCCTCCCTCCTGTGTGAAGAGGCTGACAAAATGCAGAGTCTTCTAAGCTCCTTGAGGAGCAGCAATCTTCGAATGTTTGGTATGCGATTCGCTCTTATCAAATGTGAGATGACACTACAGGACTGGACTAGGTTGACTCTTGCCTAAAGGTAAACAGGAGTTAAGTGGCTGTTGGAGCGCGTTGACCACTTCATTTATTTGGGAAGTTGCATCAGCCAGCCGCAACGGAGTTAATCGCTGATGGGATCACTGCACGGATAAAAAAAAACCGTTTAGCATCTGCCAACTTACACCACCTCTGGCTTAGTAGACGTGATATGCGGTTGGCTGGTTATCGATCAAAGGACATGTGCACTGCTCAGCAGTAGGAGCAGCAGTTCTCTCCGTCCTCCTTTATGGCTGGCTGTAAATGAGAAGTGGCCATTGACAGTGGAAGAAATGAAAAGCCTGGCTAGTTGTTTTTGACCATAGATGCCTGAGTTATATCTCCCATGTGGTTTGGTGGTAGGTTTAATAGGATGTGTAATATTGAAGTTAGGCATCGGTAGAGTGTCAAGTAAGGAGGAAGAATCAATCGACGATACTATGAAGTTACATTGATTGAGATGGTTTCGCATATGCCAGTTTACACCGTCTCTGGCGTAAACGTAATATCCGACTGTCAACCAAAGGGTGGATGTACTGCTCATCATCAGTCCGCTCCGTCCTCCTTTATGGCTAGCTGTGAGACCTGGCCATTGAGAGTGGAAGACATGAAAAGATTAGCTGTCTTCGATCATAGATGCTTGCGCTCTATCTCCCGTGTGAAGTGGTATAATAAGGTGAGCAATATCGAGGTTAGGCATCGGTCGAGTTCTAGGTGGGTGGGAAGGGAAATCAATCGACGAGGCTGTGAAGTTACATCGAATGAGATGGTTAGGACATGTGTTACGTATGCATAGTCATCGCCTTCCTCGACAATGGGCAATGTTAGCTGACATAGGGTCAGTTTGGAAAAGAGCTAGTAGGAGGTGGTCAAACCAAATCATGGCACCAGTTGATGAACCCTACGACAGTTAGTCCGAGCCACATAGGAAGGTGTAGACTGACTGACTGGTTGGAGTCCTCGGGTCGGTGAAAACCAATGGTTGGAAACAATTGGTGGGTGATATGGCTCAAAATCGTTGTCAATGACCGCCTGGTGCAGATGCATCCACTCCTTGTGACTTATGATTTCCAATGAAACTGTTTTGTTCTTTGTTATTACTATTCCTTTGTCTCACACCTCTGTTTACTGTCTCTATTATGCATTTCTTGTACTTTCTTCTCTTGGCTTGTGTCCTACAAGGAGGGAGTGTGTTGACTTGAACTGGTGCACATTGGTGCAAAGTGTTATGTCGAAAACAGACAGACAGACAGACAGAAAGATTAGATCCACACACATAACACTAGTTACTGACTAGTCTCCAATCGAAAATATCCAATGCAGTCCTACTGGAGGTCAATCACGAGCCTGAATAGCTCAGTGGCAACGCATCTGACTACAGCATTGGATGATGTGGGTGGGAATCTCAGAAGAGGCATGAGTTCGTTCAAAGTGGTTGCAGTGCACTTTACTGACTGGTGAGTGGCAACTAGCGCAAAACCTATGTCCAGGTAAGACTTCCTGTGGTCGTTTACCTCCGACCATCTAATATCAACAATTCACAGTGCACCGTAATGACGAGCCATCTAGTGGCATGGTGGCCACGTTGTAAACTTGACTACAATAGAATTCAGTCTGTACCAAACAAATGACTCGACACACACTACACACTAGTCACTAATCTAATCAAAGTACTCTGAAATGTTGAAGGTGTATGTCACCAAATTACTTCACGATTGATGTTGTCGAAACCTTTCTCAAAGTCGATGAAGTTAAGGTGGGGGAGTTCACTGTCATTTTATACTCTCTGTTTCATTACAATTTATTCTAGCGTTGCTATTCACTTCGCACACACATGATTTACCTTACTTTTTTTAAATATTGTTGGTTTATATTTTACAGCTTGCTGAAAGTAAAAGTGAATTACTTAAAGATATGGAAGCTTTGCGGCCTCCTTCTCTGCCTATAGTAAGTTAATCTTTTGCTAATTATTATCGTTGAATAATTGTTTATTGTTTTAACGTCATCATGATTATTTAGCTTCATTTTTTAGATATGATGAAGAAGATTTGTAGCTCAAGTGAATCATTTTGATGTGGTTGTTTTCTCTGAGCTAACTTGAATGGTTTATTTGAGAAGCTTTCATTGCCCCCCCTCTCCTAGACAACATCTTCCGTCAGCACACACTTCAGTTTGAATTGAAGTGAGCTTTTAGATTCCTCCACGAGTTCACCATTAGTCATCTCTCCTGGCAGGTGACCTTGAACGTCGTGATTGGTTGTTTTTGTGTGTTTTCACACTCTATAGAAGGCAACTTGTATTAGTATTGCAACTGATTGTTTCTTTGACTTGAACTTTAACCTTTTGTGTATGAGATTTCCTTATTACTGATTGGTAAATTTTGTTTATCTCGATATAATATTAATAATAATAATTTGCTTTATTCCAAAACAGTACTTGTGATATAGAATGAAATTCTCAGCATTTTACTACAGTATTGCATCCAGTTATCATCCAATACATTATCAATAGAGAAAATTCTACATGGATTAAGGGTAATCTCAGTTAGTTTTGACAACAATATATTGGTATGTCGGTAGCAAAGCCAAAATTAAACTGAATGTTTCAAAGTGTTAGAAAAGTAGGTTCTGGAATATTTACTGGCGTAAGCAGAAGAAAGAAACAAAGGAGCATATAACAGAGAAACAAAAGATAGAGAAAAGGAAAAGAAAGAAAAAGTTGTGCCTATAAATGATATGAGTTGGAAAGACGAGATCCAGTTGTTCTACTGACTATTTTGTATAAGTTATATGTATCATGCTTAATGCTTTCTTTATCGCCCAGAACACGAGCTAAGTAGGGTATGGTTGAGTTTTTGTACTTGCTAGTGCGAGCATATAGTTTTCTATATAGGCTTCTGGTCTGCCTTCCTGATGAGATACAAGGGGAGAGTACTATGTCTATTGATTGACGATTCACTGGAATACCAGGCAGCCTTGTAAAAATTCTCTAGCATTCTTGGTGTTTCCTCTGTCTAATATGTGAACGTTGTCCCAGTCGAACTGGTGTCCGTGGTTGTCTGTCTGTCAAATATTAGACAGAGGAAACACTAAGTAGGCTAGAGAATTCTTAGAAGCCTGGTATTCCAATGAATCGTCAATCAAAATACACATCAAGATAGACAAAATTTACAAATCCGTAATAAGGAAATCTCATACACAAAAGGTCAAAGTTCAAGTCAAGGAAACAGTCAGCACCAATACCAATACAAGTTGCCTCCTAGAGGGTGTGGAAACATACAAAAACAACCAATCATGACGTTCAAGGTCACCCACCAGGAGCGATGACTAATAGTAAACTCATGGGGAAATCTTAAAGCTCATTTCAATTCAAATCAAAATATGCGCTGACGGAAGATGTTGCCTAGTAGAGGGTGGTGGGGGGGGCAATGAAAGCTTCGCAAATAAACCATCCAGCCTACTGAAAGAAAACATAACCACATCAAAAAGAGCTTCTTATTTTGTCCTGTTAAGGATTTATAAACAAGGAACCATAAGTGTGTATGCTCGCCTGGTGAGATCTTAACAACCGTCCATCATTGCGCCTATCATCTTTCCAACAAATACGAAGTGGAGATGTGGTTCTTACGATTGTGCGTATTCATTTCAAAATGAGGAACTAGGTCACTGTGACGCTTTAAATGATATGCTGATCACTGTCAAGTTAGATGACGAACTGCCATGAGTTAGAGGATCAATGAGAAACGGAGGAGCACTGCACCACATCTATTTTGTTTTAGTTCCTCTGAACTCAGTGCTAACCACTCGTCATCATCGTCACCTTTCCCAAAGGTCGAACCAAAAACTGTCAGATTACGCGAAGCGAATGTATTGAGCCCTATTCAAAACCTGGTAATTTTACGTATTCTTCCTTTCATTTTGCCTTTAGAATTTTTAATATATTTGTGCATTGAAGTTTCTGTAGCGATTTGGTTAAGTTTTGGGGATAGAGTTAATAGCACCACGCCCCAACCCTCCCTCTTTATCCGGGCTTGGGACCAGCTAGAAAACTAGCGAGCTAGTAATCTAGGCAAGATTCAAAGAATATTTCCAACAGTCTGTTGCAGACCTTTATCAACCAACAACTGTCTTCGCTGGCTCTATAGTGAAGATCAGATGACCGGGCCGGAAAGAATCACCAAAAAGCAATTATGGGAACAAACGAAACAAGAACCAATCGCCGCCCATAAAACATGCAGGAGAAAGTGGAGATGGATTGGGCACTGGCTCGCTGGAGAGGCATCGCGCTGGGTGACATCGCGTGCGCGTCAGGCCATTGCTCGAGTGGAACCAGGCCAAAAGGGAAGCACACGACGAGTGGGACGTCAGTTCAAGGGTGACATGGAGGAGATGGTGTGAAGAGGAGTTGAAACAGTTACTATGGACTAACATGGATGCAGGTGAAAAGTACAGCAGAAGAAAGACAGAAGCAAGTGGAGACGTTCAGTTGAAGCCCCATGTTCCACTACGAACCCAAAGGAACAATAATAATAATAATTTTGCCTTACATCCTTGCACCTTTTAAGAAATGAAACGTTGCAACTCAATGATCGCTTCGTGATACGACTATTTCAATTTCACATTGGAGAGATTTCGTCACGCACTAATGTCGATTAGAGAATTATTGAAGACAATGATTCCTCACACAGCTGTTTCGTTATACTAGTTTAAGACTTGTTATTTCAGCAGTTTCCAGCCTACGACTCCATCAGGGATCGAAGCCAGAACTTTCAATCAGTGAAGTCTTTTTTTCGTCTTTTCATGTCACCTCTAACCAGCATACAAGCGACTGCTAAATGGATCTGCTGAAGTCCCAACGAGATGTTGTGGCCAGCGGGGTCCCCTATGTCAGGCTGATGTGGATGGCTTGTCAATCTCCTTGGTTTGGAATTGACTGTACTCAGTGAATTGTGACAGAGGAGCGGGGGTAGAATTCACGGGTGGTTTCTTGAAGAATTCATCGTAATCTGAAGGTGTTGGGTTCGATCTCTGTTGACAGGATGGTTGGGATGGGGTTGGAGGTGGTGGAAGTGGTCATGAGTGCGTGCTGATGAAGACTCCTAAACTCTAAGACGAAACAGATGTACAAAACTCTCATCTGGCTTCTCATGGATTCTCTCTGTCTGTCTGTCTGTTTTCGACATAACACTTTGCACCAATGTGCACCAGTTCAAGTCAACACACTCCCTCCTTGTAGGACACAAAGCAAGAGAAGAAAGTAGAAGAAATGCATAATAGAGACAGTAAACAGAGGTGTGAGACAAAGGAATAGTAATAACGAAGAACAAAACAGTTTCATTGGAAATCATAAGTCACAAGGAGTGGATGCATCTGCACCAGCCAGTCATTGACAACGATTTTGAACCATATCACCCACCAATTGTTTCCAACCATTGGTTTTCACCGACCCGAGGACTCCAACCAGTCAGTCAGTCTACACCTTCCTATGTGGCTCGGACTAACTGTCGTAGGGTTCATCGACTGGTGCCATGATTTGGTTTGACCACCTCGTGCTAGCTCTTTTCCAAACTGACCCTATGTCAGCTAACATTGCCCATTGTCGAGGAAGGCGATGACTATGCATACGTAACACATGTCCTAACCATGTCATTCGATGTAACTTCGCAGCCTCGTCGATTGATTTCCCTTTCAACCCACCTAGAACTCGACCGATGACTAACCTCGATATTCCTCACCTTATTATACCACTTCACACGGGAGATAGAGCGCAAGCATCTATGATCGAAGACAGCTAATCTTTTCATGTCTTCCACTCTCAATGGCCAGGTCTCACAGCTAGCCATAAAGGAGGACGGTGCAGACTGATGAGGAGTACATCCGCCCTTTGGTTGACAGCCGGATATTACGTTTACGCCAGAGACGGTGTAAACTGGCATATGCGAAACTAGTCCTCTGTATACGTAGTGAGATTTCGTCAGAGATCAACCCGTTGGCACTGGCTGGTGCAACTTGCCAAATAAGTGAAGTGGTCAACGTGCTCTGCAACTTCACTTCGTTTTCCTAAACTAGGAGTCAGTGTAGTCCAGTCTTGTAACATATCTTGCATTTCACAAGGGGAGCGAATCGCATGCCAAACATTCGTAGATTGCAGCTCAAGGTGTTCAGAAGAGTCTGCTGTATTTTGTCAGCGTCCTCGCCTAGAAGTACTATATCGTCTGCATATTCTAAGTCAACGAGATTATTCCTTAGTATCAAGTCAGTCCTTGAGTCGCTGAAGTCACTTAGGGTTAAGTCCATTAGTACATCTATGATGAAGTTGAATAGAAATGGGCATTTGGAATTGATAGTGTTCTCTGAGCTCCTTGGTTTAATTGCGGAGCTTTCATCGTCTTTCTGGACGACATCTTCAGCGCAGATTTAGGATAAAGTGAAATGCATGGAATATGGAATTACATAAAGTGAAATGATTTAAATTTCTTCATGAGTCTCCCGGTAACCATCTTTAGATATTTATTGACCGTTTTCTATTGATTGGGCATAATCGTCATCCTTGACGGACACCACTAGTCGTCAGCAGTTCAGATGACAACCCGCCGTAAGCCCTAGATTCTCTCTAACTAATGTTAGTTCGTGACGAAATCCCTGTTAAAAAACTAAAACCTGCCTAATATGACTATTTCAATTCTTCTGCTTATTGCCATTGACATCCTCGTGTTGTACAGAATTCATTTATTCGTCGGTTCATTGCTGTTTCTTATTTTACTTTGTTTATATTTTTACATTCTTTTACAGGATCCTTATTGGTCCACAGTGGATATTCAACTAGTCTCTCATGCAATCGGTGATTTAGGACTTGATTATGAGGCGATTGCTGAACGTTTAATCAATAAAACACCCAGTATGGTAGCTAATTACGTGCAAATGTATGGTCAATATCTTAATCTCCATGAGTTAGCATCATTATCGCCGATGATTTTGCTTTAAAAAATTTTTTTTCTAATGTTCACAACTGCTACTATTATTATTATTATTACTGTAATTGTTATATTTGAGTATATTGTAAATACAATAAAATGCCTACCTCAGCGTGTTGACCACTTCACTTGTCTGGGAATTTGCATCAACCAACCACCACCCCCAGCGGGTTGATCACTAATGAGATCTCTTCAAGGGATACCGAAGGGTCGTTTGGCATTTTTACTTGCCAGCTTACGCTATCTCTGGCGTAGTAGACGTGGCATCCTGTTGGTTGGATATTATTTTATTTATTATTATTATTGTTCCTTTGGATTCTTAGTGGAACATAGGGCTTCAACTGCACGTCTCTACTTGCCACTTCTGTTCATGTTAGTCCATACTGTCTCTTTCAACTCCTCTTCACACGATCTTCTCTATGTCACCCTTGCATTGACGTCCCACTCGCCGCGTGCTTCCCTTTCGGCCTGGTTCCACTCGAGCAATGGCCTGACGCGCGCGCGATGTCACCAACCGGCCTCCTCAACGAGTGTCCAATCCATCTCCACTTTCTCCTGCATGTTTTATGGGCGGCGATTGGTTCTTGTTTTATTTGTTTGCTCCCATAGTTTCTTGTTTGTGATTCTTTCCGGCCGGCCATCCCATCTTCAGTATAGATCCAGCGAAGACAGTTGTTGGTTGATAAAGGTCTGCAATAGGCTGTTGGAAATATTCTTTGTGATCCGCCCGCCAAGTTTCTTATCCGTATAGAAGAACTGACTGACTTGACCTTTGTATTGAAAATCTGAATGAATGTTGTTGTTGATGCTGAGTGACGAAGAATTGTGTCTATGTGAAATTATATATTTAAATGTGATCGCCAAAAAGGTCGTCATCTTTGCTGAACTTCATGTTCTCTTCTTTCTAAAGTTCTAGATTTAACAGGTGGACTGTTACAGCTTCCGTGGTTTGAAGAAATTTTGATTCATACTACTTTGGCAAGGTCGCGTATTACGTGGATGACTCTGAAATCGGTTAATGCCTTCGTCGTGTCTAAATTTGATCAGGTGGTCCACAATAGAACTGCAGCGGTTGGGTGGGGACGTTTTTCTTCCTTCGTATAGTGTGAGGGTGTGCGTCGGTGGCACAGCGGTTAGGACGCTCGCCAACCATGCACATGGTCCGGGGTTCGATCCCCGGCCGACACACTCCCTCACCTCATTGAGCCAGAACTACTGCTGGTAAAGAGGAAAGGTTGGGCATGAGGATAGCAACCCCATCCCGTAAAATAACCACCACTGCTACAGAAACTTCAAGCCACTAGCTTGAAGCCCTGTGTTCCACTGGGAATGTGAAGGAAAACAAACAACATTGTGATGAGGGTACGTGTTCCGTAATACGTTTATATATATAACATTGAGTACGGTTGACATACTCAGGTGCACATTGTCAGGGCAAATGACACTTTATATAGTAACGTAATTGTTATCTAAAACTTACAATATTAATAATATATTAGATTTTGAGCTTGTGTCCCTACTCTTGTTTAAAAGACTTAATGATAAGTATGTTTGGCTCACTTCCTATAAGTCATGAATTCGATTCTTGGGTTATTATTATTGTTTCCTGCAATTCCTACAGGAACATCAGAGGGAATCAGACATATATCATCGGCGAAGTCCAGATCCTCCAAGTTTTTTCTGTGCGTCCGCTTTATGCCTGTTTCCTCGTTGCCCGGGCCGCTGCTGTCTGTCGCATTATCTAATCTACCAAAATCAGGAAAATCATTGGAGATAGTAGGCAGCCAGTTTGTTTCACTTCGAAAGATTCTGTGAGTTTTCCGTTGTGGATTACTTGGCATGCAGCGTTGTCGTACAACTGTTGGATGAGATGTGTAATTGTTGGTGGCCTCCTCAAAGTCAATGAAGCTGAGATAGAGAGCTGACTGCCATTCCAACCTCTGTTCAATGATGATTCGTATTGTTGCAATTTGATCGATGCATAAATTGTTTCTTCTGAGTCCAGTGTGTTCCGGTTGAAGTTATTCATCCAGATCGGCGTGTTCGATTCCCTTCAGGATGTTGCGGCTTAGTACTTTGCTTGATATGGACAGAGGCATAATGGCGCTCCAGTTCTTGCATTGATCTATGTCCCCTTTCTTTGATAGTTTGAATAAGTATCCTTTCTTCCAATCCACAGTTACTTTTCCCTCTTTCCACACCTTCTCCAGCACTGGCGTCATCAAGTCCTCTGATGTCTCTGGGTCCATTTTCAATGCTTCTTCTGGGATTCCATCTGGTCCTGCTGCTTTTCCAGCTTTTAGCATCTTGATTGCCTTCCGGATTTCTTTTTTTGTCGGAGGGTCAATGTTCAATGGTAGTTCTGCTTCCGCTGTTGGTATTACTGAGCGCTTTGTAGGTGGTGGTCGACTGCGAAGTCTTTTGAAGTGTTCAGCTCAGTGTTTTCTTTGCTCCACTTCTTTGGTGATTGACTTTCCTTTGTCATTCTTCACTGGCTTAATTTGTGTCGAACGTTTGCCCGAAAGGTACCTAGTTGTTTGGTAGAGTATGGCGAGGTCTCTTTTGCTTGAACAGCAGCTTGTTCTGCTTCATTTGCCATTCCTAAAGAATGCTAAACTCAAAGTCAGAAGATACTGGCCTTCTGTGTAGTTTCATTGGTTCTTGAACTGTAGTATAGCGGAAACTTCAAACAAACAAATGTATCAGTCGGACGGAAAAGAACAAGAAGTTCAGCAAAGATGGTGATCTTTTCGGAGATTTCACTCTAAAAAAGCAGCTGTACAGTCGCATTCCACATTGTAACGAAGAAGATTAACGGTCATAATAATAATTTTCAACTTGATATGAAAGTTTGAAGGTGTGATTATTTATATTAAAAGAGCGCTTAGAGACATGATTACACAGGATTAGAAAATAGTTATTTTAACGACTAAAGGTGTGAATGGGATGAGCATGGCAACAAGTTGAAGGAATAATATTTTTAAAAAATGGAAAATAAAGGGGAAATTAAGTGGATGAAACAACGGGACCTAAGGAGACAAACCGAAGTAGATTCATAGAAAATGTATGGGTTGAACCAATTACTTTTGTACACACACCTCCAGTTTTTTTAGGCATATAACGAGGTTTACTACAGTATAAAGAAGTCGGAAACACACTGACTGCCTCTGGTAGGTAGACTTTTGTTTACTTTGTTAATGACTCTGAATGATGAATGAGTGAGTTAGTTGAGATGCTGTGACAGGTGTTGACTACCAGGTGTTCAATTATGGTGCTTTTGATTGAACCAGTGCCTCCTCTTTGCAGCCATTCTGTGTAATGTTCTCCAACACGTTTTGATAGGAGCTACGTAGAATGATCTATATACCTAGCTCAACACGAGCAGGTGTACTGATATGCACATTGAAGTGGTCGTATGTGGAAATCTATCCTCCACATTGTTCCAAAGCAGTGGATGGCTAGAGACATATCACTCTTAGAGTTGATGCATGGAAAGTCTGCTTTAGGAAACTTGAACTGTTAAGTCTCCCTTGAAATGATCAATATCAGTGACCTTCATCAGACTAATTGAGCTAAATTGAGCAAATTTTCGATGAGAAAAGGCTAAATTTATGTTATGTACTGGTCGAGAATTTAATAGTCCTGACGCAAGAAAGACAGAAATCAGAAGACCACTAGGTTTGCGATGATACTTCTATTTTCCAAACAGAAGGAGAATCAATGTCACACAAGAGTGTGAGAGCAAATATATATGAATGTCCGAACAATTGTGTGAACACAAGTGTGTGAGCGAATATTCAAAATGAACAAATCAATAGACAGTCTTAACATGATTGGCTAATTACAATGGAATATCGATCCATATATACATAGCAAAATATATCAGACTGTCAAACAAACACACATATTACATGGATACATATCAATTTATAAAACTAAAGTGTCTAGGAAAGAGCACAGACCTATCAAACATGATGTTGTTCATAGCCAGGTTTCTTTTGCTAGTATCGATAGTTCCGTGGTAGAATCGCTCGCCAATTAGGCACGACTTCCAAGGTTTGATTCCTGTCTGACACCTGTCAAAACTTTTCCCGTTGTACTATTCAAGAGCATGACTGGAAAAGAGAGAAGGTCGACTCATTAGGCTAGTACCACCCTCACCCTCGCTGTGTAAATGTAACAGGACTACTGAAACTTGAAGCTATACATTTTATGTTCCACTTGAAACGCGGAGGAACAGAAAGTAGCATCGATATTCTTGATATTAGGATAAAACCTGGGCACTGTGGTAGAGTATAACCCCATCATCTTGATAAAATCACACAGTGTTTGTTGTACAGTAATATTTACTGATGACCACGTTTCGAGCACAAATTATTACTGCTCATAGTCATATTATAGTGAAACTAATAATGATAACGTAAATAAGAGAGAATATAAGTCATCTACAGTGGTTCTACCATATAAGGAGGGGATATCTTAAACCATACATAGGATTCTTAATAAAGCAGGAATTAGGCTGGTGGCATTCAAACCCACAAACTCACTCAGACACAAGCTCTGTAGGCTGAAAAAAACCGGTGGATCCAATTAGACAAAGTAATATAATTTACAAATTACCCCACAATGACTGTCAGTTCAACTATATAGGTCAAACTATTAGCTTGAGGGTAGTTAGATTATCGAAACATAAGAATTTAGTGGCTTAGGTAAGAATGGTTCACCGCACTCGTGAAGATATGTAATTTAGAAGAAAAAAAACTCAGAAATCGCACTGCATGCATAAACACATAATAGGGTAGGTTGGACAGAGTTAAAGTTCTAAAACGTAATATAGGCAGGCGAAGATAGAGAGAGATTCATTACTCAATCCTTCATATCTTCACTCTTCGACAGATTCTAGAACATAGACACACTTTTCGGCGTCCAACAATTGTCATATTTCTTGACTTGAAGGCGGCCTTCGACTCCGTGGATCGAAAGGCACTATGGCAATGTCTGACTGTGAAGGGAGTGCCAAGAAAGTACATTGCACTAATCAAGGCACTCTATTCAAACTCACGTAGTGGTGTAAGGGCTTATGGGGAATTGTCATCTGAATTGGTAACAACCA